AGCACACGCTATGACAATAATGTACGTAGTGCACACTACTGACAATAATGTACATAGTGCACGCTACTGACTGACAATAGCATATGTAGTGCATGCTGCTGACTGACAATACCATACGTAGCACATGCTGACAATACCATACGTAGCACATGCTACTGACAATACCATACATAGCACATACTACTGACAATACTATACGTCGTGCACGCTACTGACGATATCTGTACATAGTGCACGCTACTGAGAATACTCTACGTCGTGCACATTACTGCCAATAACTGTACATAGTGCACACTACTGACAATCCTGTACATAGTGCACATTACTGACAGTAACTATGTAGTGCACACTTCAGAGAATACCATACATAGTGCACACTACTGACATATATGTAGTGCACATTACTGCCAATAACCGTACGCAGTGCACGTTACTAACAATAACTACGTAATGCATGTTACTGACAAATCTCCTAGTGCACTTACCGACAACTCCATGTAGTAAAAGTTCCTAACAATAATTGTATGGTATGCATGTAGCATAGTGGTTATGAGTAGGGCTGCTAACCTCAAGGTCAGCAGTTCGAAACTACCAGCCATTCCACAGGAGAAGGATGAGGCTTTCTGCTCCCTTTAATGATTTACAGCCTCGGAAATCCTATGCAGGGTCGCTATGAGTCGGAACCAACTCCGTGGCACACCAACACCACCACCAGTACATGTTACTAACAATAACATGTCCAAAAAAATTAGAAAAATACTGGTGCTCCTAAGTGCAGTTCATCCTAACTCAATTACTTTATAAATTGGGGACTACCTGTATACATGAGTCCCGGTATGGTGCTCCAGGATCAACATTGGACTGCTAACCACAAGGTTAGTGGTTCAAACTCCCTTGGAAAACCAACACAGGGTCGCTATGAGTCAGAGCCAACGTGACGGCATACAACAACAACAACAACCACCTGTATACATGTGGGTGAAGGGGTATTACTGAGAAGTTTCCTGTGAATCCTTCAGATGAGAAAAATACAATCCACCCACAAACTCACACCCTCACCCAAATGAACCATAGTTGTCTCTGGGTAACAGAATTGGAAATCAGCATCATTTCCCTCCTTGTGACACGCTCACAAAGGACACATCAGAAGAAGAAAAGAGTTATTCTAAAAAATTTCCAAAAAAATTCCCTTATAATTTTCTTCTTAAACGGAATTGTGGACATATGGGTTTCATTTTTTTTTTTTTTTTAAAGCCTTACATACATACACCCACATCTGTTCCTTAAAATTAATGAACTATTTATTTCATGATTTTAAAATTAAACTGAAAAGTCATTTTCACATTTGTAGGTAATCCTTCTTCCTGATTAGCTCCTACTTTCTTCTCCTCTTCTTCTTCCTTCCTATAGTTACAACTTTTAATACCAATAGTAATGATTAATAATAATAATAATAGGTCCACTACAAGGAATTTCACATTACATTCAGGAACAGACGATTTAAGACTTACTCAAATCACAATGTCCTAGAGCTACTGACACTTTCAAAGACTTGAGTGAACGTATCTCTTTGTAGCAACTATCCCGGAATGCTTTCAGCCAGTGTTAATTATTTCCTTGTTTTAGATTCTATCTATACTGGTGTGGTGCTGTAGGATAAGTACTGGACTGCTAACTGCAAGGTCAGCAGTTCAAACCCACCAGTCACTCCTTGGAAACCCTATACAGGGTCACTATGAGTTAGAACCGACTCAATGGCACTTAACAGCAACAATGTGGAGATTTTTTTCCCCATGTGTTTGTTGTGTCTCATTTCCCTATCAAACAGTCTATGTGTAATTTCAGTTATCTGAGAGGCAAAGAATGGTAAGTTTTCCTCTCAGATATGCACTTATTATAGAGCTTAATCCAAAAATGCTTGAAAAGTGAAAGATGAGTGGATGGATAGATGGGTGAATGGATGAATGAATGGATGATGGATGGATGGGTGGGTGGACGGATGGATGGGTGGATGGATGGATGGATGGATGGATGAAGGAAGGAAGACAGAAGAATAGATATATGGGTAGATGAATGAATGGATGAAGAGATAAGTCAATGGGCAGGCAGAAAGGGAGGAAAGGAGAGAAGGAAGAGATGAATGTACCAGTCATTTTATCTGCCTCCTGCTGTCTGTGAAAGGTCTGCACTTCACACTAGCGCCTTTCAGTGTACTCTACTGTTAAATGCAGATCCCCATTTAACTGTCTCAGGCCCACTGATTCGGCTGTCCTCACCAGTTCCCAGGTGATGGCTAATACTAGTTGTTTTTTAATCTATTTTCAAAAATTCTCAATAAAATAACCCCACAACTTTACTTAGTACAGGTACTGTGTACTCAAATTAGGTAAAACGTAACATCATGCCTAAGTCTCCTAATATTCTCAGCCAAGATAAAGAATAGCTAGCTACTCACCTGATTTACTTAACTAATCCCAAAGGAAAACCCCTCAGTTCTGTTGCTTGACCCAATCCCATTCCCATCCAAGGGAAGGGGGAGGGGAGAAAACTCCAAGGAAAAAAGATGAGTTTTATAAAAGGGGAAGTCAGAGTAGCTCCCTAATGCTTACCTCGATGAATCACTGATAGCTTACTGTGTAGATGTTCTAAGGCCTTAACAATCTGCAAGAGAAACACAAGATCACTTATTTACCTCATCACTGGGAGGAAATGAAAACTTAATTATATCCAGCTTTATGTGCCTTGGTATAAAATCACAGGGTGAGCTGTTTCCCAAAGAGTAGCCTTTTTAAGGAAAATGCACAGGAAGGTACACAAAGGTGGAGGCCTGACCCTATGGGTGGATGGATAAGTGGTTGGATGGGACTCCATCTGCTGAAGAGACTCTACCTTATAGTAGAGAAGATGGCCCATTCATCTATTTTGGTTTTCACTTGGCCTCATTTTTCAAATTTCGGTGAAAATATACCTAGTCATTCAGCCTATCAACAATTTCTACACATACAACTAACTCACAGGCACTGACTACATTCTTCAAGCAGTGCAAACATTCTGACACCAAATTATTCCACCACTACTGACTTTTCCTGGTGTGGCGCTGTGGGTTAATCTGCCAGACTGCAAAGTCGTTTGAACTGCAAGGTCGGTGATTCAAGCTCACCAGCTGCATCTTACAGGGTCGCTATGGGTCAGGATCAACTCAACGGCATTTAACAACAACAACAGCAACACTGACTTTTAAATTCGTTGCCCCCTAAGCTTCTTAATAAACTCCTGGTGTGGCGCTGTCAGATCAGCACTGGACTGTGAACCACAAGGTCGGCGGTTCAAGCCCACCACCTGTTCCTCAGAAACCCTATACAAGGTCGCCATGAGTCAGAACCAACTCCATGGCACTTAACAATTTAACAAACTTCTTATCTGGTGTGGCACTGTGGGATGAAACACTGAACGGCAAGGTTGATTTGAATCACAGATCAGCAGTTCAAACTCACCAGCCACTCCTTGGAAACCCCATACCGGGTTTCTATGAGTCGGAACCCACTCAATGGCACTTAACAACAACAAGCTTCTTAACTACTCTTTCAAGTTGCTGTTGTCAGTTGTATCTCATTGAGATAATCCATTTAAAAAGCATAATATTAAAGGTAGGTTGGTTATGTGCCACGGAGTCGGTTCTGATTCAACGACCCTGCATAGGGTTTCCGAGGCTGTAAATCTTTACAGGAGCAGAAAGTCTCATCTTTCTCCTGGGGAACAGCTGGTAGTTTCGAACTGCTGACCTTGAGGTTAGCAGCCTGACTCGTAACCACTAAGCTACCAGAGCTCCTTAATACTCAAGGCAAATTTTATTTAGTTAAGATAAACTGCTTTTTGATTCAAAGAAAAATTCAGGGAATGGTTTCAGTTAAAAGTATAGCTAAAGAATAGTTTGGAGGTTTCAATGACCCTCGAGGGCCCCAGGAAGTCTGGGTCCCATGAGAACTGGACATTTTATTCAGCATTCTTTCCCCCTTTCCAACAGGATTTTAACCTCAAGCATTTTTTTCCTTCCCCCTCCTGAGCCCCAATAATCATTAAGGCAACATTCCTGGTTTCCATTTTCTTTTTCATCTGATTCATTTCATTGTTTCTCAACTCCAAAGAAAACACTAAAAGTCTACAAAGGAAAATGGGAAGACACATTTCAGAGTAAAGATACCAGGGACGGAGCCACACTGGAAAGCACATCACTGCAAAGGCATTTAACTTCAAAGTTACGGAACCAAGTCACTGGTTGAAAAGTGCTTGAAAAGAAAAGCTTCGAAACTGATTCGACGGCACTTAACAACAGCAACAAAAAAACGCATTTGAAAATGCTATCATTAAACACTGACTTTTATACCAGGGCATGTTGGAATAGATTCATTTATCAATCCACTCTTCCAGCCATTGGGAGCATGGTGGCGCCATAAACTAAGCACCAGGCTGCATAGAACAAGGTCTATGGTTCGAGCCCACCAGCCGCTCTGGGGGAGAAAGATGAGGCTTTCTGCTCTGCGAAGATGTAAAGCCTCAGAAACTGTCTACTGGGTCAATATGAGTTGGAACTGAGTCAACCGCACTCAACAACAACAACGATCCAGTCCTATGCTCAACAAACACGTATTAGACGGTAGCTCTGGTTTCGTTGTTCTGGAACACAGACACATCAGACCAAGGCTTCGTATACTCTCGTTTTACTAGGATTCATGAGGTACTCACAGAAACTGCTATTTTCCCTAAGATGTCTTCGGGAATCGTTTGGTTTTTATCAATGACTTGCTTGTAGAATTTATCTAGTGATGTATCCATGAGCTCCATGCAGATCCACACATCACCCTAAAGACCAAGGGATTAAAGGATTGTTAGCAGGGATGGAAGAGAGATAAAAAAAAAAAAGAAAGATATACATAACACCTGTCGGAGAGAAGCATCATTTTCTTGCTCTGAGTTTTCGGGAGAAATGTCCAATCAGAGGAATTTATAACCAAGCAACATTATCTCCAAAGAGCACGCTAGCAGATGCTGAAATAGAAGCTGGCGGCGATCGCCCACCTCTCAGTGAAAAGCAGAGTGTGCATACGGACAACTACAGCTTTCACCGTGGCTGCTATCTGCCTGCTGAACAACTGACAACCAGCCAAGAGGTTGGTTTGAAGACAGCGGTAAAGCAGGACAATGGTCCACTTCAGGGTGAAGTGAAAAACAGAGGTGAAAAAGAAATAAAAGAAGCCTGTATATGTATTTTATATTTGCTTTCTGCTCCCATAAAGATTTACAGCCTTGGAAACCCTGTACAGGATCGCTATGAGTCGGAACCGACTCCACGGCACATAACAACAACAGCATATAAGAAGCTCTGGTAGCATAGTGGATTATGAACTGGGGTGCTAACTACAAGGTCAGCAGATCGAATCTACCAGCTTCTCCACGGGAGAAAGGTGAGACTTTTTGCTCCCATCAAGATTTGGTGGTGGTGGTGGTGTGCCATGGAGTTGGTTCCAACTCATGGCGACCCTGTATAGGGTTTTCAAGGCTGTAAATCTGTATGTGAACAGAAAGCTTTGCGGCCTCGGAAACCCTATACAGGGTCACTGTGAGTTGGAACTGACTCCACGGCATACCACCACCACCACTGTATGGTTCATAAGTAGGCTCCATGAAGCTTATGTGGCCAAAAGCCTATAATCTTTCTGATATTAAGGAATGCATCCTAATCAATCTATAGACCATCAATCAATCTATAGGCAGTTGTGTTAAAAACAGGCCAAACAAACTGAAACTGGGTCTTGGAATTTTTAAAAGGATGAAACACATTTGGAGTCCTGGTGTGGCCTGGTAGGTTAAGTGCTGGACTGGTTGAGGTCGGTGGTTCAAACCCACCAGTCACTTCTCAGGATCACTGTGAGTCGGAACGGACTGGACACATTTAACAACAACAGCAAAACACATTTGAAAATGCCATCCTTAAAAGCTGCGCTGGGCACCAGGGCATGCCATCATTGTCTAAGACTTAGCCCACTGCCAACAAATCAATTCGGCCTGATGGTGCCCTATAGGACACAGTAGAGCTGCTCCCTATGAGAACAGATCACTGGGTCTTTCTCCCATGAAGCAGCTGGTGGGTTCGAACAGTCAACCTTAGGTTAACAGTCCAGTACTTCACCACTACGCTACCAGGGCATCTTTGTTGTAGTTAATTGCTATTAAGTAGGTTCTAACTCATAGTGACCTGTACGGGGCCTCTGAGGCTTTAAATCTTCATGGGAGCAGAAAGTCTCACCTTTCTCTAGCAGAGTGACTGTGGGCTTGAACCGGGGACCTTGTGGTTCACAGTCCAGCACTCACTCTATGGAGTCAGTGTACTCCCACATTAAGACTTAAAACCTTCAATATAAGACATACCAACAGGGAAGAGTAATCTGTGTGTGGATGGGATTTGTAGGATCCGAGAAGCTTCTATTTAAGCTCTTGTTCTCTTTGGGCTGAACTGAAGAATCACTTACCTCCCGGAAAAGCGCGCCATAGAAGGTGACCGTAAAAGGACAGTCCACTGTCCTCATGGATATATCCAAATCCATCAGTAGCCTTTTCTGCTCCTGGCTATTTACTGTGGCCCGGATCCGCTGGAGAAAAATGCATGGAGAAGTTTACCATTGCCGCTCCGAAAAGGAGTCAGTTCAGAAAGTGGAAGCCTTAAGAACCGCCTTTGTGAAAATGTACAGACAGTTACAACAGGACTTCCTGCAAGCACCTTTCAGATGCTCCAAGTGATTCATTCTTGGTATCCAACAGAACATAATGAAGACCATATTCATTTCCTTTCCCGAGAAATCCCCAGTAGGAAGCAGACAGGAATATATTTTGCAGAGTAGCCAAATGTGTAATGTTTAGCAATGTCTTTTCAAAGTTACAAAAAGTCTGGTTTACTTTATTATGTCTATGCAAAGATTTCATCATATTAACTAGTTTGCTGCTGATCAGAAGCCCCAAGAAACAAAAAAGCAAAAATTAAAATAAACAAAACAGAAAACTCCTCTCTGGAAATATCTTTATCTACACAGCATGTGGTAAGTGTTGGAACAGCTATGGGCGATAGAATCTAACCCAAAGAAAAATGGAGACTTCATTCACATCCACCTGTGTGCTTCTCAGAGAACCTGCCAGGCCAGCAAATGCAGCCTTAAAGAAACATGGTTATCCTCTTTCTGACTGTTGTTGTTACGTGCCATCAGGTTGGTTCTGACTCACAGCAATGCAGTACAGGGTTTCTGAGGCTGCACATCTTTGTGGCTGCAGAAAGCCTCATCTTTCTCCCATGGAACAGCCAGTGGGCTCGGCCTCATGGTTCATAGTCCAATGCTTATCATACAGAGCCACCACCCTTTCTTTATATGATTAAGGGATGGAAATACATAATACCACTTCCTGTTGTGTATCGTCAACTTGATTCTGACACAGACAACCTACATGACAGAGTAGAACAGCCCTGTAGGGTTTTCTGGGCTGTCATCTTAACTGGAAGGAGTTCTGGTGGCAGATTAGGTAGGCAAGTGCTCAGCTGCTAACTGCAAGGTTAGTGGTTCAAACCCACCGGGGCTCTGTGGAAGAAAAGCCCTAGTGTTCTGATCCAATAACAATGATTGACTAGGAAACCCTGTGAGGAAGTTCTACTGTTTCACACAGGGTCACTTTGGGTCTTACCGAACTGGGCCGCACTCTACACCGACAGGAATCTTTGCAGTGACAGGTTACCAGCTCCTTGGCCCCTGGAGCTGCTAGGTGAGTTCCAGTCTCTGATTAAGCAGTTGAGCACTCAACCACTGAGCCACTAAGACTCCTTAATATCACTTCTTGTTGTTGTTAAGTGCCATCGAGTCGATTCCGACTCATAGTGACCCTGTATAGGGTTTCCAAGGAGCAGCTGGTGAGCTTGAACCATTGACTTTGCAGTTCAAACGACTTTGCAGTCTGATGCATTAGTCCACAGCGCCACACCAGGCGAATATCACTGGTGGTGGGTGGTGTGCCGTGGAATTTGTTCGGACTCATAGTGACCCTGCACAGGTTTTCTGAGGCTGCAAATCTTTACAGGAGCAGAAAGCCACATCTTTCTCCCGCAGAACAGCTGGTAGTTTCCAACTGCTGACTGTGAAATTCGCAGCCTGACTTGTACCACTACGCTACCAGAGCTCCAATTTAAAGCATCTTCTAGCCTGATTCATAACCACTACGATACCACTAGACATTCATCTTTCTGACCAAAAGTCATCAGATGGTCCAACTTCAATATACACTAAGTAAGGGAAAGATCTTTATTCTCCAAAAGCAAAGAGGGTACAAGCTATCTGATCACCCACATTCTTAACAATGGAACAACTCTATCAGCTAGAAATGTTAGTTCTCTGAAGTCCCTTCATACTAGGCTTAGTGGTCAGAAAGCGACTGATGGAACCCCCAAATTACAGCTCTGAGTCACCCTTCACAACAATAAACAGGTCCTGACTCCTTAGAACAATCAAACATTCAGAATCAAGGGCAGTGTTGGCCCAAGGACAAAGTTCAGAAGGCAGAAAGGGCTAAGGAAGAATGACAAATGGAAACAGGAAACACAGGAAGGAAATGGGCTAAGTGATGTTACCTGGTATGGACTGCCTCAATGACATGAAAGACCATGGAGATGAATTCTTGAATGGAAAATGGATCTGTTCGGTAAACCCTCACCCAACTCACAATAAAAAGTTACAATAAATAAATAGAATCTCTCCAGTATCTAAAGGAGCATTTTGGATTATGAGCTGGGCTGCTAATGACAAGGTCAGCAGTTCAAATATACCAGTCATTCCAAGAGAGAAAGATGAGGCTTTCTGCTCCTGTAAAGATTTACAGCCTCGGAAACCCCACATAGGGTGGTTATGAGTCGAGAGCAACTCCACAGCACTTAACAATAACAGTATCTGCTAAAGAAGTAGAACATCATCTTAAATTTCTTTTGACAATTCTAAAATTGGGCAAATCTACTTGTATGTCCTGTTCTCTCCTTTGGCTAGAATTGGAGATGGAGTGATGTTTGCTTTCTCAATTCTTCATTTTCAGGGCCAATTAAAATAATAATAATAATAATAATAATAAATACTGACAGAGGTAAGATATAGCAACCAAATAAAGTGTGTGAACTCTCTAAGTGTTGATCTGAACAACCAATTGGATAAAAAACAAAAACAAAAAACCCAAAACACTAAAAACCTTTGAGACAATCAAGAACATTTTTGACATGGAGCAGGTCTGGTAGTGTAATGGTTACGAATTTGGCTGTGAACCTCAAGGTCAGCAGTTCAAAACTACCAGCTGCTCCGCATGAGAAAGATGAGGCTTTCTGCTCCTGTAAAGATTTACAGCCACGGAAACCTTGTACAGGGTCCCTATGAGTCGAAACCGACTCCACGGCACATAACAACAACAACAACAACAACAAGGTATTTAATAAAGCTAACTGAGTATTGTTTGTTCTGTGAAGTGTACTGATGGCATGGCAGTTGAGTGAAAAATTAAAATTAGAGGGTAGGACTATCAGTTTTTAAATAATAATAACTGGATGCAACTTACAACAACAAAATATTTCTCATGTGTTTGGGGGAAAATATTGTTCCGCAAAAATAACATTTTCTGTTTCACTCCACTGAACACATTTTGCTTCTATGAAAAGAATTGATGTGCAATTTTCTGTGTAAATGAGGCTTTCTATGATTTGCCATTCAGTTGGACACACATTGCTTCTACCTTCACTGCCATGATCTGCCCACTGGGCACATGCCGCATCTTCTCCACCACGCCGTACGCCCCTCGCCCCAGTTCCGTTATAGGTTCCAGATCATCAGCCTTCACCTCAAAGTTCTGCAAGAGAGAAAGTCATCATGCAACAGGAAAGAGAAAATGAACTGGACATGGATTATGTTTCCTCTACTTGGCTCTCCCCAGTGTTATATGAACTATGGTATGGACCACAAGCTTTCTGGGATGGCAGGGTAGCCATGACAAGCAAGAAGCTTTAAGAAGTGCCTGGAGATGTTGAGGTTCCCATAGCATGCCACCTGCACAACACAGGCAACCTAAGAGGTTCTTAGAATATCTATCCAACTCCATCACGGCTTCCAAATGGCTCATTAAGCTGTCTTCACTGTGGTCCTCTAAGTATATCCCCTTAATTAGGTTTGTAATTCATCTTGCTGACTGGTAGCAAAGGGACCAATGTTAGGTTCTTGAGAAATGTCCCCCCATGAGTAACCCACTCTTTTCAAATACCTACCTTGCATCAGGACCAAAAAAGCCTGATTTTGATTGACCCTACAAGATAGGAAGCATTCCACATAGCTCTACCTCCTGGTGCCCCCATGTGTATCTGAGCAGAGATGAGCTCTACGAGGCTTTCAAAGGCTGATGTTGAAGTCCATCGCCACACACCACTTCCCTTTGCACCCAAACCTGTTTGGGCCCATAATCTGACTGCACGTTACAGAAAAGACATTTGTCATTCACCAGTCTGAAAGCAGGCATGCAAAATTGCCAAGATATTCATTGCCATTGTTGTTAAGTGCCGTCGAGTTGGTTCCGGCTCACAGCTACCTTGTTAAGGGTTTCCAAAGAGTGACTGATGATTCTGAACCACCAACCTTGTGGTTCAAACCAGCCTGGTAGTCCAGTGTTTTATCCCACACTGCCACGCCAGTGAAGACTTGATTTTGCTCACCTGATTTCCAATGGAAATGCAAGCCTTGGAGTCTAAGTCTCGAGGTGGCCTGAGAAAGGGAAGGGAGCAGAGAAGACATGTGAGGTGTTTATTCAAACAGGTCTCTCCCCACGTTATGGGTAATGGATGAGAGTTTTCCATAGAAGTGAGGCTTTATGAGTCAAATGAAGCAGAATAGATAATATCGACTTGAAATACATTTGGGTTTAAGTTCTGCGGTCATTACTTTCAACAATATATGTTCAAATAAGTTAATCTCTTGTGGCTTCATTACCACAGGGATACTAATATACCTACCTTGTGAAGTGAAGGAACTCTGGTAGCTTAGTAGTTACGAATCGGGCTGCGACCTGCAAGGTCAGCAGTTCGAAAGTATCAGCTGTTCTGTGGGAGAAAGATGAGGCTTTCTGCTCCTGTAAAGATTTACAGCCTCAGAAACCCGGTACAGGGTCGCTATGAGTCGGAACCAACTCCACGGCACACAGCCACCACCACCATATTCATATATATATATAATTATATATGAAGTTGTAATATGATCATTTAATGACTCTTCTAGCCATAGTCTTTGTAAACTCCCACCAAATAACGTTTTAGCAATGATGGGTGTCAGATGCTGACAAGATTACACGATTCAGTTGTGGGTGGTTATGAGTGTTAACTGTGATTATAACAACCTCAAACTCCTAACCTGTATAAAACGAGCCATCTCAGAAGCAGGAAGAGGGATGCCACCACCATAGAATAAGAAGAGCCAGGAATGGAGCACATCCTTTGGACCCTGAGATCCCTGCACACTGAATCTCCTCGACCCAGAGACAGAAAGTTATGACACTGATGGGAGTGGCAGAGGAGCAGCCACAACAGAATCAACAGCCAGAGCATGAGAGAAAGTGGTGGGCTTCCAAACCCACGGAGCAAGGAAAGCTGAGTGGCTTTGGCAGGAGGCTTGCTTGCAGAATGGGGCTCTCCCAAGCACTTAATTAGGGGAGCTAGATATGCTGAGGCGGGAGCTAGTGCCCAGTGCGTCCAGGCTGAAGTTTAGGGTGCAGTGGTGTGCCCTGTGGGCATTCAGCAGAGCTTTGGAATATTGGTGGGGGCAGATAGAGGCCTGCCTGTGAGCAGGGCTGGGAGAGGCTGTCCAGATGGGAACAACTGTGCCCTGAGCCTTTGCAGATCCTGTATTATAACCTGTTCACTTCCCTAATAAGCCCTACCTGTGAGTATGGCTCTGACTTCTGCATGGCCATTGATCAAGCCCAGTTGAGTGGTGATGGTGGTGTGCCGTGCAGTCGGTTCCGACTCACAGCGACCCTGTACAGGGTTTCCGAGGCTGTAAGTCTTTATACAGGAGCAGAACACCTCACCTTTCTCCCGCGGAACAGTTGGTAGTTTCCAGCTGCTGACCTTGAGATTAGCAGCACAATTTGTAACCACTACGCTGAAGATGGAATTGTTGACGTGGTTTTTTTTACAAATCAACTTTCAAACTTAGTATTTCTTCCAAGAGCATTAATCTGCTTAATTACTCCACCTTTTTCCACAACTGTTTTTAAAAGGATCAAAATTTGGCTTATTATTTTGTTAACTCATAAAATTAACAAAATAGAGGAGTTTCAAATCTAGTGTCTTATAGATAGAAGTAAAGATTCGGAGAGGTAAAGGGACTTGTCCCAGGTCTCCTCACGTGCTATTCCTCTGTGCTGTCTAATCAAGTTCCGGAAGTTTCTTCAGCAATTACTCCCAGGGCTCTTCTTGGGAATGAGACATTTGCTGCTTATATGTCTCCACAGGAGAAAGCACAGTCTCCTTGTGTCTAATTGTGTATAGTTCTTTGTGTTACTTCATTATTCTCTGAGATTGTATCAATCTACTTGGAGAAAGGTATTTGGTATTGGCCATGCATCTAATAAAGCAGTAGCTGTGAAGTTAATTGAGACTCAGGGTGACCACATGTGTCAGAGCAGAACTGTGCTCCTCGGGGTTTTCAGTGGATGAGTTTCCATAAATAGATTCCACTCATGGTGCCCCTGTGTGTGTCAGAGTAGAACTAAGTTCCACAGAGTTTTCAGTGGATGATTTTTCATAAATAGATTTCATCTGTAGGCTGAGCAAATAATCCAAGAAGTTGCATTATATGAGGGAAAACGTGGCAATGGGATTGGAGAAACACTAACAAGTTGTGGTAATATGTTAATGATACAACCTTGCTTGCTGAAAGTGAAGAGGACTTAAAATACTTACCGATGAAGAACAAAGACCACAGCCTTCGGTATGCGTTGCACCTCAATGTAAAGAAAACAAAAATCCTCACCACTGTACCAATGAACAACATCCGTATAAATGGAAAAAAGATGGAAGTTAAAGTTGTCAAAGGCTTCATTTTTCTCAAATCAACCATCAACACTCACAGAAGCAGCAGTCAAGAAATCAAATGATGTATTTATTGCAGTAGGCAAATCTGCTGCACAAGACCTCTTTAAAGTGTTTAAGAGCAAAGATGTCAGTTTGAAGACTAAGGTGTGCCTGATCCAAGCCATGGTATTTTCAATAATCTCATATATGCATATGGAAGCTGGACAGAGACTAAGGAAGATCATAGAAGAATTGATGCTCTTGAGTTATGGTGTTGGAGGAGAATATTGAAAGTACCATGGTCTGCCAAAAGAACAAACTGATCTGTGCTGGAAGAAGTGAAGCCAGAGTGCTCCCTGGAAGCCAGGATGGCCAGACTTCATCTCTTATACTGGAAGTGTAATGTCGTCTGTGGTAGGATAATACCCATAAATCTACAAGGGATACCAAGGTCAGCAGTTTGAATCCACCAGCTGCTCTGTTGGAGCTAGATAAGAATTTCTGCTTTCATCAAGACTGACATTCTCTGAAACCCTATACAGAGTTGCTATGACTCTGAACCGACTCGATAGCACAAACAGACCAACAGAAAAAACCATCATGATAAACAGAGAAAAGATGGAAGCTGTCAAAGACTTCAGTTTGCTTGAATCCACAATCAATGCTCGCTCACGGAAGCAGCAGTCAAGAATGCAAACAACATATTATTGCATTAGGCCAATCTGCAGCAAAGGACCTCTTTAAAGTATTAAATGGTAAAGACAACAGTTTGAGGACTAGTATTTTCAGTCGTCTTCTATGCCTTTGAAACTTGGACAATGAATAAGGACAACCATAAAAGAATTGATGCTTTTGATTTACGGTGTTGGTAAAGAATACTGAAAATATCACAGACTGCCAGATGAATAAACAAATCTGTGTTGGATGAAGTATAACCAGAATGCCTCTTAGAAGTGAGGATGGTGAGACTTTGTCTCTTGTACTTTGGGTTTATTATCAGGAAATGAGCAGCCCTAAAGAGGACATTATGCTTGGTAAAGTGATAGCAAAAACAAGAGGACAACTCTCAATGAAATGAACTGACCTAGTGTCTCCAACAATGGGTTCACACATGACTGTTGTGAGGATGGTGCATGATTGGACTGTTGTAATTGGGATCACCATGAGTCAGGGTCAGTTTGATGGAACCTAACAACAACAAACACCTGGGGAAGCATTTTCTATGACTAAATGCAACAAAGGATTATGACAAAAAGTAATGCATGACAATAAACGTCGTGTCGCTGGAGAAGGATCTCATGTTTGGTAAGGTGGAGGGTCAGAGAAAAAGAGGAAGACCCCAATGAGATGGATTGGCCAAGTGGCAGCATCGATGGACTCAAGCATGGCAACAGTAGTGAGGTTGGCCCAGGATCGGGCAGTGTTTCATTCTGCTGTGCATAAGGTCGTTATGGGTTGGTACCAACTCGATAGCATCTAACAATAACAACAACAAATACAATCAAAGAAATAGCCACAATCAGACACTACAGGTCAAAGGATCCCAGTGAACAGAACAATAGGGAGACCTTGTTTTAGAGATGTTTCACACCCAACTGTCGCAAAGGAAAATGGAAAGAAGAGGGAGGAAGAAGGGAGGGAGAGAAGGAAGGAGAGATGGAGGACGACAAAGGGAGAGAAAAGAAGAAAAGGAAGGGAAGACAGAGGGTAAGGCAGGAGTAGTGAAGAAATCCTTTGCCAAGGACACTGCGCAACCTTAATGTGTTTTGATTCTATTCCTTCTGCCAAAGCTAAATGGTAAGAAATTAAATAATAAATGAAGTATGTATGTAAACACAGATAAACAGTAAATCTATGGTTTTAATAGCAAACCTGCTCTCACTTCAAAATCCCTTTAATAATGGACTTAGACCCTTTCTGTACTACTTTAAAACTGAGAGCTGGGAGAGACAGACAGACACACACACACACACACACACACACACACGGTAGGCAGTGGTGTTTTTCTGTCATTTGTGCTTCTGAGCAGAAAAAATTCTTTTTCATAAAATTTCTCCAGAGGAATTCAATTTTTAAAATTCCAATCACTCATTTCTTACATTTCAAAAGCAATTTTTCTTTAGTTGTCACAATAAGTTTGTACCAATTGCTACAAAAGACTTCAGAGTGTTCCAGAGCAAAGATGTCCCTCTGAGGACTAAGGTGTGCCTGACCTAAGCCATGCAGTTTCAACTGCTTCATATGCATGTGAAAGTTGGTTCATGAATAAAGAAGATCGAAGAAGAATTGAAGCATCTGAATTATGGTGTTGGCAAAGAATATTGAATATACCGTGGACTATCTGAAGAATAAACAAATCTGTCTTGGAAGAAGTACAACTGGGCTGTTCCTTGGAAGCCAGGGTGATGAGACTTTGTCTCTTGTACTTTGGCCATGTAATCATATGTGTCAGAGTAGAAAACCATAGGATTTTTAATGGCTAATTTTTCAGAGGTAGATCACCAGGTCGATCTTCCAAGGCACCTCTTAAGTGGATTTCAAAAACCAACCTTTCAGTTGACCATCAAGTACATTAATCATTTGCATCCCCCAGAACTCCCAGGTCTGCGTTTGAAGTATTCCTCATAGCCGGGAATTGCCCCATTTTTCAGACGGAGAATAAAAAAGCCCAGAAAAGTTTGGTGGTTTTACTGA